TTTTTAAAAAAAAAAAAAAAAAAAAAAAAAAAAAAAAAAACTTCAGACTTAAATATATTTTTTATCATTTTAAAGAGCAACATTGAGGCGTGGTAGTTTTCGCGTAACTATGCTTTCTTTCTCTGACATCCGTTCTGGTACTGATATAGGCCACAATTTTGCGCCGAATGAAAGATATTCTGAAAATAATATTCGAAGTGTTGTAATCAACACAGAATTTTTGAACAGATTGCTTCAAAAATGTGGAGTGAATTTTTGTTTCGATTGAACCGAGAAGTTTCCATCTATCCGAAAAATCGTACAGTGTCACTAGAAAACATCCAATAAGCTTAAAAAAAACACATTTGAAGTTCTAATTTTTAATGGAATTTTCGTTTAACCTTGAATTTGCGATATCTGCACCATACAATTAGCTTAATGGAATTGAATAACTATATGGACGTGCTCGTATTGTGTTTCAAGGTGTTTTCATCTCCAATTGCTTTCGAGAGTGGCCAAGTGTAATATAGCGCTACGACTACGAACAAAAAATCAACATTTCGGAATATTTCTAATTTCGTCCCCGTTATAATCGCCTTTTCACACAATTTTTGGATAATTTAGGGAGTATTTCAATCTATAAAGGAAACGGAAAAAGGTTACGGGATTGTTTATACGAAAACTCCATCCTCCCTCATAAATTTTGAGTGAGAAAACTTACTGATTTGAACATTTTCTTGCTTTTAATTTTTGTTTCCCGGGTAGTACAGTAATCCGCATTTATACAAGAAATTTTTATATATAGAGATATTATGAAGTGTAATGTTCTACAGAAGAAAAAAAAGTAATCACAATTACTAATTTCTTTAAAAATAATATAAACTGGAAAAGAACAAAAGAGGCTTACTTTTCAATTAAAAAATTGTGAACAGTTAAAACCTTACTAAACAAAAGTAATATTATAAGAGGGTACTAGAGCGGCTAGGAAATTCCTGAAAATAATTTATTGTAAAGCAAAAAATTGAATTGCTTACCGCCTGGAATACGAAATCTCTGGTAAAATCACACCTCCACGACGGCGGTAACACACAAAATTTTGCTTCCAAACCTTGTAACACCTCTGATACAATAGTTGATAACCTGGTTTGTGCAACACTTACGGTATGGTCGCTACAGGCTGGCCATCAATAACTCCTTGACGCCAACAACTGTAAAATCATGGCCAAGCGCAACCTGCGCGGTATATATGTTCATCCCACACCGCCGTTAATACCAATTTTCCCCGAAAGTAATGAAAAGCTACTTTGGAAGCGCGGAACTTCTGCATGCATCAACATGCAACAATATAACACATATTTATACGTCGTTTGCAAATATTAGGAACTACTTAGTTACTCCTTGTGCGTCGCGATTGACCTTGTTCTCTTCTTCAATGAAATAGCAAAGAGAAGTTCATATACATTGTGTTGGAAATGTACACATTAATTAACGTTTCTTGATTTAGCTCGATATTTAACGAAAAATTGTACTTGCTTCCACCAAATTTTTTTTTTCCTTTTCTTTACAGATTCAAAACATTTGTTTTTGGGGAAAAATTTAATTTTCAAAATGAAAATAATTCATTTCTAACAGATGTTTATATTTTTCTTTTACAGATATGTGGTGACTTGTCTTGGTTTATATTCAATACTAATGCGATTTTGTTGCCACCGACAGTAATTTCATTCCCGGCAGATTTGACGTAACTCAGATAGCGCTTTGGTAACAATCACCAGCAAATTTGCTTACAGGATAAGATGGTGACTGCCGTCTACCTCATGATCACCTGTTTACACGATTATCCCCTGTTGATAGTTTCTTAACATGATGTTACATCGTATCACACGCTTCCAAAGGGAAAGCATATACAATTCTGTGTTTTTAAATGAATATGCGCTCTTGTGTACATTTCACTACTATGTCCGAAAATTAAACCAAATCAATTTTTTCTCTTTCAAATTAATTTAGTAATCTTACAAATCTATTTTGTCGCCTTCAGGGTAATTCGCAAACTCAAAAATATTCTTTGGTAACAATTTCGCTCGGCGGAAGATATTCATCATACACAAAACCACGATAATTGAAGAACCTCGTTAACGTGACCTTGGTTTATGAGCGTTCTTTGCGCGGTTTTTTCGGTCTTGGGTCAACTCTTGCAGAATATTCGTTCGATTGAACGCAATTTCTTTGCTCAACAAGCTCACGCTTTGTATTAATCGAAAAAAATACTTTCTGCGTCGTATAAAAACTTAGTATACGCTAATGACGTTTTTGGGGAGAAATTTGACACAAATGTGTGACATTGTGCCTCCAATCTAGTAAATATATATTTCCAATATTCGATATACCTTATTTAAGTTGAATATTGCTCATACTTTTTGGTCATAACATTATGTATGAATCATTAGGTGATTTATTTTCGTTTCATCGCTTATTTCATATTGCATTAAAGGCACAATTTATTATTGTTTAATACAGTGCATTTGTATATACATACACCTAATATATTTATGCAATTTTCGGAATATTACATATATGAGTCGTATGTATAAATATAATGCGATATTCAAATTAATTGTAATTAAAATTAATAAATAAATAGTTAGAATAGTAAAAACTCGCCATTACTCCTAACTTACGCAATTTGAATTACTTGTTATTTTTCGAATTAATACGCTCTAAATCGGTTAGGCCAAAAATTCGTATTTTTATACAAGAAGACCTTTACCATGAAGCCTAAGAAGTGGCGCCTCCTTTTTTTTTGATGTTTTTTTTTTTTTGGTGATGTTACCAAAAATTGGTTTTCTAACGCTTAATTTAATTGTTCATTTTTGTTATGTTCTGCTACATACATTTTGTATTGATAAAGACATATGTCAAGCAATTCTTTTAAAGGACTTTATAAATATTGCGTTTGTATACTATAGTTTTCATGTTGTATGAAGTTTTCGCACATACTGTCTTTTGTAAAATTTCGCTTGGCTATTAAAATCAAACATTTTTTAAAGCGTAGTTTTTTCGAGGTATATTCTGAAATATATGTCGCCGTCTGTTCATTTCCTTATATTGTTATAGATATTTCCAATCTACCTGCTTTATTATCGCAATCAATATTACCTCTTCTACACAAGTATTGCCGTTGGAATCAAGATTGTTTAATTCTTTTTAAATATACCAGTATCAATACGGAATGTGCGTAGTAGAATATTGTACATATAAACACAGTTTAAGTGTTTAAGAATTTATTTAAAAAAAAAAAAAAAATTCTATAGCATTCCTAATTGGTTTTAGTTTTTCTAAATAGTAATATAATCTCTGCGTCTATAGTGAACACACATCTCCAATTTTATTTGCCGTAGTTTTACCAAAGATTGCTTGACAAATTTTTTTCCCTATTTCCACTACATCACTTGGCAACACTGTCGAAATTTTTATGCATGTCCATCAAAGTAAGCAAAGTGAATTCATCTTTAACACTATGTGAAAAACCTTATTTAGATAACAAGTGAGATTATGATTAAAATATTTCCCCTGAAACAAAAATTCATGCGGTTGTTGTCATCAAGACGAAAGGAAATAAAAACAAACTGAATATAATAAATAATTTGGAACAAAAGTAATTTTATCGTTTTAACAACTTAAAATTAATGGTTTTGTACCAGCATTGAAACACTGAGTATTAACGTCTTCTATGTGTTTGTATGTGTATTTGTGGTTTGGTTACATGTGCTAATATTCATGAAAAAAGACTTTTTCGCTATAATTTGGAAACAAAGTTATCAAAAATGCCATTATTAAACAAAAAACTTTTTTTTTGATCCAAAAGTGTTTGTTTGTGTTAGTTCGTGCGTTTCGTGGTGTGCAGTAGCTTGTGCGTACAAAGTGGTATCTCCAATATTTACTCAATGTTAGTTTCATGAGTAGGGTGTGTGTATATGCGTACGCATGTATGGTTTATTACTCTGAAAATTAAAACATTCCAATTGAGGCGACTTTAAAAAACCCTTAACAACGTCTGTGGTCATACAGGTAAGAGGTGCCTCAGGAAATTATTCTTAACTGGCGGTTGTTGACTATTCAATAGAATCAATTAATGTTATAAAAATGTTGACCTAGTCAGAAAGCCGAGACGGTAACCAAAGCGAAAAAATTTTATTAATCCTATTAATTTTGTTCTCTAAATTCAACGAATGTATTCTGCTCCAAGCAGGAATATTTTGATTTTTACACCGCCTACTAAATGGTTACGTATTTATATGTCACATCAAGTGCTTAGTCCTCACTTTGTAACTGTGTGTCTTTGAATTCGTTCAATTTGGTAAAATCTAAGCCATGGAGCATGTTCCTTGTTTAAAATTTATAATTTGCACAATTTTTAGGCTGGAAACACATTTCTCCGATCTAGAATAATCATTTTAGCTTCGCGATTTGATTTATGTATTTTGTTTGTTACACGCCAAAAAAGTTTTTAGCTAAAATCTTTTGAGAGAATAAAATGCCTTTGGCAATTCGATTTAGATTTTAGCGTAAATTTCTACATTTGCATTAGAACCAAAGCACCGTCTTGCAGAAAAAAAATACGGTCACGTCAAAAACGGATCGAAGTTCCACATTTCAGCAGCAATCTTCTCAAGAGGAGAGACATCAAAGACTTTGAAACCTTTGCAATCGGTCAACATGTGCTGCAAGAACTCAGTTATCACTGCCAAACCGCACTGAATTGACTAAATTAGAAAAGACCGTACGCCCTATTACCCAATAATCAATTAATTACAGCCTTACTTGGAAAGACAATTGCATAATTATACAATTCTGTTTCTTCTATACAGTAATGTCCAGGACAACATGCAACCATATAAGTGATAATCTATTTAACTTTTAGCAATGCGTTAAAAATATTAACGGTATTAACTGTGTCATACAGTGATTATAATTTATGCATCAAATTCCTTTTGAATATTTTGGGGCATTGGCGGTAATTTTACAATACAATTCCTTATATTATTTGGACTGTAGTATTTTGGTGGTTTCTTGCGCCATATAACTTAAAGCTAATGCCTTATGCAACTAAGAAAATTTCAGTGTATGGCTTTCCAACCTTTTTCCATCCTAATGCGGCCAACAATATTGAATGTTGCCTGTTGGACGCAAAGGTTCAGTTTTACCTGACTTCACTTCATATGAATGTGAAAATATGTTTCATTGGTTTTTGATTTCTCCAATTTCCATACTGTCATTTTTTAGCAACGTGTTTAAAACTCTTTTGTTGTCTTGCTCTAGGACCGTGGTCTATAGCATGATCAAGGGCACTGGTATTTAAATATTTTCAAAAGATAAATCGAGCAAAATAATTTTTGGTTTCAAGCTCCTGCAACGTCAGCAATATTTCATCAAAAAAAAAGGAAGCAATAAAAAAATACATTACTTCAACAATTTGACCGTAAGCCACAATTAGACCTTCAGTACATCAAAAATGTAAGGGTGTAAAATTATATTTAAATGTAACTTCACACCCTTCAAAAATGTTTAATATAATTAATTACTGTTTTCCGGACATGTATGTTTTGTTAAGATAATGATCATTGATCATTGATTTTAAAAATTCAAATGTCGTTGAGAAGCTGTGAAGGTTCAAGTCCTTTTAAAAGGAACTGCTTTAATGCAAATTGTATATTAAAGCGTAAATACAGTTCTACATTCATTCACAATTTTAAAAAGATGCCTAAGATTAGTTACTACAATTTGAATTTGCCTACTATAAGAAGTAAGAAGTTATATTGGAAATGTGATTAGTATTATGACATAGTAAACATTTTTGCATTTGGCTACAAACCATGTTCTTTTTTAGAACGTTAACTTCGTTTTTATCATCTATAAGTGGAGCACATGTTTATTGATTTTGGAAGTTATGTAAGAATAAAAAGAAAAAAAATTTTAATTTTTCATGTTAAACACTCGAATGTCAAGAATTGTCATCATCCCTAGAACTACTGTGTTAAAGAAGATCACTATCTGCTTATATACAAGCAACTATGTAAAAATCAAATTATTGAAAATTTGAAAGGTTTGTTTTATTATCAGCCACTCTTTTATATTTTTTTTTAATGTCGTGCAACTTGCAACTACATCTTCGGTATTGAAGTTGGTCTTAGAGTTGCTATTTTAGACTTAGCTGTTACTACACAACATTTTAATTGTGGTGGCCACATAGGCAAAAAATTTCACATGCGCGCACATATTGTACTAAATGTTGGATATCATACCTTTTGATGGAGTCGCATCATTGTCATCTGACTAAACAAATCGCAGCGAATGCATATTCTCCATGACAAGGTTGACAAAGTTCCACATATTATCTATATTTCTCCAAATGGCTATCTTTCAGCAGTATGTCAAATGTATGTTGTCGTTTGGCAACTCTCCGCGCGATGTGTTTTGCAATTTCTTTTTTACTTTATTGCTCTCTTGCATTATAAGGTTTGAAAGCCTAATTAATTCTAAAAGTTTTTAAATTTATTGTAACACGTTAAATTTTCTGTGTTGATATGATTTCAGTTTTTGCGATCAGCACTTCGTGCTCTTGCCAGGAAGTGACTTTCTTGTTTTTCTTTGTAGTTGGGAAAGATCAACTTTTAGAGCATCGTGCGGTACTTCACCTCCGTCTTCAACTGCATTTCATACGTTCGATTCATGTTAGTGGTAACGGTAAAATTTTTCGATCTGCCATTGGCGAATCTCGTTAAGGTTTCGAGCTTTCCATTCCTGCTTATACAGAACATTAGCTTTTCCTCTATCGCAAATTCATCTGGTAATAGAAATGTTACAAATAAGATGGAATGTCTCCTCGTGTCAGTTATACTGAGGTGGCACTGGTATCTTTTCCCAATGGTGCCAATTAGGATACTCTGTCTACGTCTACATTAATAAAAATAATAAACCTGCTTCTCTTTCTAGCTGTTGGGGTGTTTTTGCTGATCACCTTGCTGGACAAGTGGTACAAGGTGCATAAACGAGTGTAGTCACTCCCTCTGCTTTCGCAACTCAAAATTCTTTTCCTACTTTTTCTAATACGGATGAGGTCTGCTTGAGGGCAGCACGCCGCAGAATGGCAATATTCGTGCCAAGACTGACGCCTCACACCTCTAAGAATACCATAAAAAATTATCTTGCTTCAAAAGTCCCATCCGCCAGTTTGAAGCGTGTTAGCCTTTTTCAAATTGGCTTCATCTCAACATAGAGCTATTACGTCTTTTAAGGTGTTAATTCCGACTGCTAACATGAAATTTTTGTTAAGTAGACCATTGTGGCTTTTTGCATCCTTAATAAAGGAATTAATACCTCCGGATCGACTCCGAAATGCTAATTCGGTAGCTCTTCCACCCACAAAAAGCTAAATGTTTTTTCAGACCCAGTAACTTTCATTTACCAAAATGTTTGGAGCCGAAACTCAAAAAGTCGCTTTACTTTTCTAAATTCAGTGAGCACGCAGTTTTCTTGTTTGGCCTTCAGTAAAAATTGGTTGAAGCCTGATGTACATTCGTCGGAAGTTTTTTACAATTCTTTCCACGTTTTCAGAAAGGATGGATTGGATCGCACTGGTGGTGCTGTTGAATTGCCATATTTTCTGCAGTCCCGTTCCATTCGTCTGAATTTTCTACTCCTCCTGGCGTTGAATTTATTGCCACTCGGTCGAAAATTGCCCAAAAAACGGTTTTGCGTAACTTGCTCCTCTATCCCTCTAAATGTGGATATCTCTATTTATAAGAAGCATTCTGCCTTCATTTGCGATGCGGCCGACAAGTCTAGATCTACTGATATAGTCCTAGCGTTGGAAGACTTAAATTTGCCACAAGTCACTTGGTGTCATAGCGATAACTCACTGAAGTGAAGTTAGCCCACTGTACCTAGCCCACATTAGCAAAGACAAAAATGTGCCCAATTTTAGCAAAGACAAAAATATGGGCTATCTTCACTTCTGGGTTCGCGCCTCTACTAAGGCAATTGATAATTGAACGTTGCAAAATGACTCGAAAAACTAAGCAAAACTAGAAATACTAGCATAAATAAAATAGTAGTATATTTGAAAATAAAAAGCATAACTAATTGCTCCTTTAGTGTGATATTTGTTTGGAATATTCTCTATAAACAGACCAAGCTACGCATCGATATTTCAAAGGTATCAGGCAACGTTGCGGTAGTTGTTTTCCATAGTAGCGTTGTTTGGTAGTGGCCGTCTTTTTCAATGCAATTACCCTTTAACATTTAATTTGTTTCATGATCGTGAGCTGTGTACGAAACGAAAAATATGTTTAACCCTATTGACAAGATTGAAAGATTTCGTTCAAAAAGCCAACAAATGTGTTTTTATCTAATTTTGTATTGTAACAACTGTTACACGAGGTTTTATTAGACTGTTTTTTTCATTATATTTGGTATGCTTTAAAAAAAAGTTTCTAGTTTTGCAATTTGTGACTTGAGAGACGAACAAAAAACGCTACGCTTCATCGATATATGTAAGATAACCCAACATCGATATATATAGCTAGTGCCATTGAGGTGGTTGAAAAATTCGCGTGGTCGCAAAACCTAAGTTAGAATGTTGAAATTTGACAAGTCTATTCTCTAATCGATTAAAGGAAAATATGAAAAACGCTACTAAAATGAATAGCTATATGTCACGCTTTTCAATATATTCGAAGAACCGTAAGGAAATTAAGGAAAAATTTGTTTTTTTAATCTAGTTAACATTCTTTGGCAGAGTCGAATGTGACTCGGCTTTATTATTAGATCAACTTTATTAACAATTTTTTCAATGTTTGCAAACTTAGGGTAGCCGTTATTGATGCCTTTCAAATTTTAAACTTAGTTAAGGGTGTGAAGATAAATTCGAATTTAACTAGTACAGACACCTACCATTTCTGTTAACATACCTCTGTTAACGACCTAACAGTGCTCATGTTAAATAATTACAATTGAGATATAGTTGGTTTGAAAGCCTAGTGCGTCCATATTAAAAAAAAGAAAATATT